TATGAAAATTTTATTTCAGCAAAAGCTAGAATTTTATGGAGAAGAATAAACGAGTTCTTTGACTGAAGTAAAGACATCGATGAAAAAAACTTAAACTGCAATATAACACAGATATTCTTTTAATGAACCTCTAAAAGGCATATTCCACTTTTAAACAATAGAATAATAGTTTTCACCAGTTGAAGTAAGTCGCAAAAATGTTATTTGCGAGAGAAAAACAATGGGACCTAAAGACACCGGGGGAAAAAAAAGCGAGAAAGACACGGAGAAAAGCGGTAAAGAAATTTAATCTCAGTTGAGTATAAAGAAAGGGTGGTGGAGGGGGGGGGGCAAGGTTGATGGAGAAAATACTTTAGACTAGGGAAGAAGGGCGGACATATTCTTTAAGAAAAGCGAGACCAATGGCCCATTCCCGAGGATATTACTGTTGGCCCTGGTTGAATACTCATGGATAAATTCTTTCATTCGACAGAGCGACTTATAACTGCTCTTCTTGAAAACGATCAGAGGATAAAACATATAGCCTGTATTGAGCGGAATGTTAAACAGCTATTTGACATTCCGCAGGGCTTTCACTGACACAGATTTTATGTTGCGATATAAACTCGAATGGAGAGGAACAAAAACCCAGATTCAGAATCTGAATGTTCTTATTCAATTTACCGAATTCAGAATTTAACGACAAGGGAAATTTTACCATTTTTAAAAAAATAATGTTTTGATAGTACTTCTCATGAGAAGAAATAATTGCAAATTGATGAGTCATTCGTACGGGGTTTCATAAAACTTCAACAAGTTGATTACATTGTCAGAGGAACATGAGTAAAATGACATAAATATTCCCTGAAATTTCAGACTGATATTTTTGAAGCCGTACAAAGCTCCCAAGTCGTTCATTAATGGCAACAATCTGCACAGCATCAGCACGGGGGTGTAGCAAAGGGTTTGAATTATTCACAAAAACATCAAAGGAAGATATAGAATATGATACACAGTACGACGTCTTGGAGCAAATCCATGGATATAAAGGTTGCTATTCACCTTCTCCAGGCATCTGGAGATACCTCAAATAGAGCACGACTGGTATTCACGACTTATTCGGAATGAAAAGCCAAATACCTCAATCATGAACTATTAGAAATGCATGAGGGATTGACCCTGGACATACCTCTTTGACTTTATCTCTCCGCTGTCGTACAACTGGATCCTTATCCTCTCCACCTTCGAGCAGGGGTAACACATCGGCTGGAGCTGGTGGAACTGTTTGTATAATCTCCTCATGTCGATTATGCGGAGCCCATGGTGCAGCACTGCTACTAGTACGAGCTTTAGATTCTACCGCAGTGTCTGGTTTCTCCAACGTTTTTTGTTGTTGATATTCTTCATCTATTTTGGCCTAAAATCATAGCAAGTGCTTCAATGAATTTTCATTGCTCCAGAAAATTGGAAAATATAATTTCATCAAAGATTGTATTTTTTCGATTTTAAATTAGAGGGACCTGTAGTCATCTCTCGATCTAATGTACAATTCCATGAACTTTTCAAATTCGGAAGAGACTGGACTATCTATTCTGCTCCCTAATGACCTAGTGTTCTCATTGAGATCTTCGTTGGTCTGTAGAAACTTCGACTTATCAATAAAGACACCCGAAGCCTGCGGAGAAGAGGCTTGATAAATCACCCAAGTTTAAACCTCTGGTACAAATAGATTAATTTGTCGCCACTCTGAGGTTCGGAGGGTGTAATACCCCGAGTGCCTGCCTCCATGCACAAAGGTTTCAATATCGATAACCATTTACACAGGTGTTACTGAGTCATCACACGGAGGTAATCACCGACGTTTGGTGTTGAGGTAGCACCTCCACTAGTAATCAACTGAGAACCATGAATAATCAATTTTGTTAATCAGAAATTGGCAAATATCTTCAGTTGTCTTTCAATAAGTCTATCAGTCATACAAAATAAACATCAAATCACGAATTATAACGATAAGAAAGTTTATCACGTGTAAACATCTTTAAAAAATACCTCAATGTCGTATTCGCGAAAGGAGATAATATGGCCAATTTCCTCGTTAGCTCTTTTGGAAATATCTCCGAAACTGAGGGAAACAATTAAATTTTCATAATGAAAATCATTTCCTGAAGCTTTCGATTCGGTTAACGTGAAATATATATCTCTAAAGATTATTTCCCTTACTGTCGAAGATATTTCTGAAGAATTCATCAAACAATTGAATTACATCTGCTTTTACTCCATCGCTATTGCTTTATCAACTTTCAATGGTACAAAAAAATCTCAAGTATCCATTATGCCCCCATTTTTCAATCTCTATAAAAATGCGTTGAATTATTTTTTGCATTTATTCACTCATTTATCTTACTGCGTGTTCCAGATTTTTAGCTTGGAAAACCTGATACTTTAGTTTGCTTCCACTAAAGCTATCACGAAATGTTTCAACAATGTTGGAACTTCTGGGGTATTATCCCCAAAAATAACCGAATAAAATAAAATCAGTGGGATAGTGACACGTGTAAGAGCGTCGACGCAATAGTGAGCGATCGAAACCATCTGGGCTAACCTGTAGCTTCTGTTTGTCCTCGATGATGTGAATATCCTCATCCCCAGCATTATTAGGACTTTCGAGGCCTATGTGAACGATGTTGACATGTCCACCAGGTCCATGAGGATCTTTGGAACCAGAATAACCATGTGGTGGAGCCGGTAGAAGTAAATCAGGTCCAGCTTTTTGGATTTTTTGATAAACCTCATAAACACTGTTATAAGCAGCACCCGTACTACGAAAGTCCGGTAGAAAGAAAAATGTACCGAAACACACTAAACTAAAAGTGAAAAACACAAGGACTATGAGGTACTTTTCTTTTGGACGAAATGAACGACGTGAGAACAGAGGCACTGGGACACCATTCACGAATCGGTGATAAGACGGAAGTAAAACACTGGCATTCGTCATTTCAAATGAAAGAAGGAGCACTTCAGATTTTCAATGAGATTCACTGTACACTAAACAAATCAACACGAGAGCACAAGTTTGTTGCTGTTTCTCTAGCCGTCATTCGCCATTACTGTTCAGTAGACGTACGTGTGAAAGGGACAAATCACTAACGCCATCCACAGGCTGATTTTGAAAACACCGAAATGCAAGTTGCATTGTTTTTTATTCAGAAAGTAAACAATGTAAGATAAAATTTCAGAGCAAGAGTTGTAGTTGAATTAATTGTAATTGAGTATTTAACAGTTGGATCTCTTTGTTGTTGAATTGTTGATATGTCAATTGGAGTTGTGGACAAGCGGTCAAACTGGGAACGCAGGATTTTAGGAAATTTCTGTACTATCAATGGTGAGTAATGCATGTGATTTTTTTTTCCTCGAACTCTTCGAAGAATGAGAAAATATCTGTTCATGGATATTTTTTAGATTGACGATTTTTGTTTCGTTTTTGCTTCCGAATAGAAGCCTTGTATTTGACGGATTTTTCGATTTTCTAATTTCAATTGCAAGGTATGTAGCATGTTCTGAAACGCGAGAGACCGATATTTTTAGATTATGCTGTGTGTACGGGCTGAGAAATTCAGAACTGTGAAGATTAATTTTGAGAAATTTCTACATCAATGCGGTAAAATTTTGCAGCTAAAGGTTTGAATTTTGAACTTATGATAGCTATTATTAACCTCGATCGATCGAGTAGTTCCTCAAATAGAGCAACTTTTGTAAATTTCGTTTTTCCTGAATATCTCGAAAAGTACAGCAAGAATTTCAATTTCTTTTTTTCACAATACTCCTCTCAGTTGGTTCACAATCAATCGAAATATCTACATTTGTTCTAATAAAATTTCGTGATATCGGCATTTTAAGATTGTATCATAATAAACGTTGTGAACACGCTGAATCAGTAAAAGAAAATAGAGATGAGTTGAAATTTGGTACACTTGTAGTTCTCATAATATTAGAGGTGGGTATTGTGAATGGGCATAATCAGCGAAGCGATTCCAGAGATATCACCAGAGATTATAGGGATATTACACCTTCTGCGTGAATGTATTTCCTTGAATATTACCCCACCACTCCACGGGCTTTAATTTTTTCTTCTTCAAAAAACGAGAATAAGATACGAGGCAATTGGCGTTCATGAGTCGATTTTAATCGATATCAATCGATTGGCGTTTATGAAGACACAAAACTATGAGGATATGTATACCCGTTCGTACAAAAATGGCGTGATATTGCCATTTTTTCTTTTTTTTATATTTTCTGTATTCTGTACTCAATAATTGAATAAAAAATTGGGATAGCAAGTTAAAATTTGGTATGATCACAGCTTTTATGATATTGAAAGATATCATAAAACATAGATATAGATATCAGATGGGAGCAATCCACCGGGTGGTAGTTACAAAATTTATTTTTTCCTTGAAGCTCATGTTACTTAAAGGTCAAATATATCTTTCTAAAACCCCTGGCAAATGTTTTTGAAAATATCGTTGTCGGCATAGCTATGGATCCATTCGGAAGCTTACTACCAATCGTATTGGTAGAAATGAAAAATTAGAAAAAAAAACTAACGCATAAAGTAATGGTTAAATGTCTCCTGCCAAATAGCTCTCGCCCAACTGCTTGTTTGTACTGCTGATTCGTGATTTGTGCGATGTTTAGGTTACAACAGATTTTTAATTACTCCATTTATTTTTTAAATTACAATATTTGAAACCGGATATCTCTCGATAGAATAATTATATGAATAAAGGAAAGAACTTCAGATTTATTAATATTAAGTGAAAAGACAAAGCGCCTTGAGCTGTTCATTGATTTATGCATTAGTAAATCACGTTAGTTAGTAGAATAATAATAATGATTGGAAAAAGTGAGGGATGGAGGTTTGAAAGAGCAGAATTACGTAAAGCTCAATAAATTGAAATAATTAATTATCAACATGAAAATAGAAATATATATTTCAGTATTTTTAAAACAAAATACTTCTTACAAAGAAAAGAGTTACAAACGTTGGAAAAATTTGTACATGTTCCTTAAATATAGACAAATCAGGAAATTAATAACCATCCAGAGCATATTTTGCGCATTCGCTGAAGAGATCAAGTTTTTTTCCACGTTCTATGACTTATATTAATGATTTTCGTAATCCTAAAAATTAGAAGACACATTTCATGTTCTACGGAAGATGCCTAGTATCACAATTCTCATAATTCTCATGTACTTATGTATAATTACATATTTTCTATACAAAACGATTGATACATTTCCTCATTATTGATAATTTCAAGAAATTTCTATTACTATACGTAAACAATGTAAAAGTGGACGTCAAAATTTGTGTTAGAAATACAATTATCATTTCTATCCTTCAATTATAACTAAAACATTCACTTTATTGATAGCATTTCTTATTCGAAGAAGTAATCTCAAATATCTATCGAATTATAGTTTAGTTACAGTATTCCAAAACATATATTCGTTGAAATAAGGCACAAATGTGACCATGGAATGAATTTCCATACCTTAATTTGTAAAATCGTAAAGATTGATCGACGAGTCGATCGAGCTGCACATTTCAGTTACTATCACAAGTTTCTCATTGATCGAAAGGAAAATTCAACATCAGCAAATTCGTCATCAATTTCCCTGATCAATGAACGAAGTTCTACAAATTGCAAATACATAATTTAGACTGTGAGACTGCGATTCACAATCAACAGTGATCTCCTAGACAAATTACCTCCAATCAACAATCAACAGTGATTTGATTAAAAAATATACATTATACAAAATTCAAAAAAATTAATTAGAATTAATACAGATTGCTTCAATAGTTTTATCAAAATATAGTACTAAAAATTTTATTGCAAAAGCACACCATTCGAACAAGGAAACAGGATAAGCGAAAATTCTGAGATCACAGAATTCTAAATCCCGTCTTTCCATACTGATAAGAAATATCACGCACGAAAAACAATTAATAAAAAAAAGTTCGGCAGACAATAGTATTGGAAATATTCCACAGAAAAAAGTGAATTAAATTCAATTTTCTCATATTACTCATTCTATCGCGATAATTTCTATAGAACTTTCTTGTGAGCACCTCACCAGGAGCTGCTGAACGAATTCCCGCCCTGGATCGTTGTAAAAATTATTTTTCACTGAACATTTAGTTTTTCGGTCGAAACCGTGACATATAAAAATCGCAATCGGTGCAATAAATGGCGGACTCCGTGACGGGTTTCTTTCTACACAAATTGCAGGGGACAGTCTTACCTCCACCAATTGGCTGCGGTGTCTTCTGCAGAGGCGGTGATATTAAGCCACTATTTTGCCCTTTACCACTGCCCTGCACCTGTTTACCCAGTTTCGGCATGGGTGGATGTTGATAGTTCGGATACTTCATGTTCGATTGAATCTGTCCATTCTGCATGGAAAGCGGATAAGTCTGATTAGGTGCGAGTACATTCTGCTGATCTTTCTGCGGAGGTCTCTGATAGGCATCGACCCTGGGCTGATAGCCCTGATTCTTCGGCAACTGCTGATGATTCTGAGGGGGTAAACCTTGGCCTTGAGAGTGAGGATGAACAACTCGATTGGGTGGCGGTTGATACTGCGGCAATTGCTGATTAATCCTCACCTGTCCATTCACCTGTTGATAACCCTGATAACCATTCACTTGATTTGGCTGATTGGAATTCATGAATTGTTGATAGGAATTCGATGACTCTATGGGCTGATGGAAATACTGCTGATTATACTGAACAGTAATTGGACTGGAGTTGTGACTTGAGAGTCTCTGACTCTGTGTATTTAAATGTCCCTGTCCCACTTGTCTGTTCATCTGGCTGTTCATTTGACTATTCATTTGATTGTGCTCCAACTGAGAGTAACCAGGATGACCAATAGGATGACCATTCGTGTGCGCCTTCTGCTGAAGGGCATTTCCCTGATACTGCATTTGAACGGTATAAGGACTCGATGGCTTCGACGTTTGCGAAACAGGAATCCCCTGGTTCCTGGGATGAGACGTATAAGTCTGTGGATATCCCTGAACCATCGGTGGTGATGAATAAGAATGAGATGGCGATGTATTCTGTGAGTACCTCATCTGCGATTGTGATTGCGGCAAGTATGAAATTTTCTGCTGATTCATTGAATTTAGGTAGTCCCTTGTGTCAGTGACAGAGAACTGATTTCTCATATCCTGAATTGATTCAGGATTGTCATTCGAGCTTTGCCTGGTCACAGCAGTCTTCACAACTTCAGGCACAATGGGATTAACGCTCTTCAGTTGATCCTGGAATGGTGTCGCTGGAATACTGTCAGCCTCGCTCTTCAGGGGTAATGTGTGCTGTTGAAATTTCATTGCTGGGGCATTCTCTCGATTGATTTCGGCCTCCTGCAGACTCCTAATCTCCCGCAGTACCTCAGCAGTCTCTGGTTTGTTCATTGCTGAACGTAGTACCCTCTCGAGAATAGGATTTGGTATGTAAGAGTCCTTCTCATCGTCCTCAGCAGTTGCGACCAATACAACTTGATCGCAGAATGATACACTCTTCTTCTTTCCAATTCTATTCTTCGTTTTTCTCGGTGCAATGTCTTCCTCATTGGGTAGAATTGTTGTATTTTGAATGGTATTCTGCATTGCGACTTCACTTATGTCGTCCTCAGGGCAATCTATTGGCAGGCCATTCTCGTGGGGCAGTGTCAATGACATCGATAGTATTGCAGCATTCAGACTATTGGTCTGAGGTACTGCTGATGGCGACATTAAATCAATCCTATTCTGGATGGAGTTGTAGTCGCAATTGGCCGAAACAGGCATTTGATTATCAGTCTTCGGGGGTGGACTATTGTCGACTGGTGGCTGATTCGGTGGCTCCACACTTTGCCTTCGAACTTCATTTACTAAACTGGTTGAGTTGATCCCTCTATTGTCAATCTCGCTTTGAGCCTCTGGTTGGGATTTAATCTTCTCGAATCTCGCAGCCATGTCCCGGACGGACGAAGCAACCTTGGGACAATCAATGACATCGTGTCCCGTGGATTGTACAATCCCCTGCCCCAAACTATTCATCATCAGATCACTAGTTCTCCTCGCAATACTCTTGGGCACCTCCTGGCCATCGAGTGCTCCTCTTTTGACTTTCCTCTCAGCCTGTTTGGCCTGAAGCTCCTTCAGCCAAGTCTCATTGGAATTATTCTCCTCATCGCGCACTTCCCCTCGATTTAGTCGGGCGTCTTGCACCTGATTTGTCTCCAGCATCAATTGCCGCTTCATCTGCAATTGCGCCAGTAAAGTGCTTAATTGCTGTACCTCCGTCTGTGTGTGTGTCAACGGTTGAACGTTTTGCATCACCTGAGAGTTCTCAACCTCCAATGGAGATGGAGGAGGTGGAAAATCTTCCGATGCTTGTCTCGAGTGAGCTACACTAGCTGCTGTTGGATACGGTGGCGGTGGAAAATCCTCACTCGATTGTCGAGAATGTGAGACGATATTGGCGTGCACAGGATATGGCGGCAATGCCTCCACCTGACTTTTTCCCGGGCTCTGCTCACTGTGTACATCAGCATGAGTAACAACGAGCACTGGTTCATACAGAATCCCATTGGCGTATTTAACAACGTCATCCTGAATTTTATTGTCATATCCCTGTTGATTGGATGTGAATCCCGAGTGTTTACTCTGTTCATTGTATGAAGGGAGAAAGGGCAGGGAATGCGGCTCCGCTGAGTAATCGTAACTCTTATCATTAGAAGATTTAGTATAAAAATTGGATTGATTCGAAAGATTCCAGTAGCCATTGCTGGTAACTTCCCCTTGACCATTGACAGACTGTTCATTAAGTATCGCCGACTGTTCCACCTGTTGCTCATTGCGCACTTCGTGACACTTAGACTTGCTAAGCTGAGAAGTCGTCCTGAGGGGCGGTGGTGGTGGTACTTTGGCAACGTGCAACGCCTTCCCGGCACTACCATGAAAGCTCTTCCTCATCAAACGACTGCGTTCCAAATTGGGATTAGTCGTGACATTTCCAGTGAATTCCAAATGCCCTTCCGACAGATAACCACTCAAGCCTTGGCCAACATTTCCTTTCAAACCGACACTCGAATCATCGACCGACTGTTTAGGCAGACTGGATGCATCCTGGTGGTTAGATGGCTGAGCCTGGCCCTCCCTGAGGTCTGGCATACTCCGGTTCTTTCGTTTTATCAAGCCCCCCATGAGTAGCTTCCTCCTTATCTTATGCTGCTTCTTCCCCTTCTGATCTCCCGCCTGAGCTGTCTCGCCACCTCTTCCACTTTTAATGACCTCTTTGTTTGCATCACTCGTTTTTTCTGATTTAACAGTCTTCGGCGATACAGACAGCCTCGACGGAGCTATAGAGAAGTCCTTGGACACGTTTTTATTTCTCTCCTCACTCCTCGCTCTCTTCTTATCCTTCTTGTCGTCATCACACCTCCTCACACGTCCCAAAATGCCTGTTCTCTGCGTTGGCCTATCGTAAAGCATGTACTCCTCGTCCTCAATGACATTTGCCGACTTTCGGAGGTTTTTCTTCTTCGGTAATGTCGCGTAAATCTCAATGTTCTTGGTAACGGGTTTCTCCAACAAGACCGAAGCATTAACCAGCAATTCACGACTGTTCTGACGTGAGTGATTACCCTTGTCTCTTGAATTCTGACGAGAATGCTGCCCTGACTTACTGTTCTCCCTTGAGTGTCTACCCTCTGGCACAGTTTCGTCCTTTTCTCCACTCATAACCACCTGCTCCTGGAGTATTCTTCGATGCAAGCTCCTAGACCTCATCACACAAGTATTATGCTTCATCCTGGCTATCGTGATGGTGTGGGGATTATTGTAGGGCGCATCCATGGCAGCTCTGGCTTTGCTGCTTGCAGCATTACACAGAGCTGCAGCAGTACCCAAGTCCCCTGCGTCCTCAGCGGCACGTGATTTATCTAGTAATGCATCTGTCTCCTTGCAGAGACGCTCGCAATCGTCATCGAGGGAAGTCTGATAGCTTTCTGGTATTTGGGCAAGCTGTAGATTGTGCTTCAGCGTGTGTTGAAGAGGCAAACTGTCATTTGAGGATAATGAATACGAGTCGTAACCCGCGTCATAGTGACCGGAACTACTGCTCGACATCTCTCCGGATTTACTTGTCGGACTCTTTGGAATGCCCGAATTTCTCTGCATTTTGTTTACAATGTAGAGATAGGGGTTGTCCATAGTCGTGGAGGAGCTTGATGATGCACTGTTGCGATCCCCTGACCAATTCCCTGAATCTCTTCGTCGTGAGACATTCAAGTGGTCTGGTATGTTGATGCCATCCTGGGGGGCTGCACCTGCACTGAGGCTTCTTGTCAATTGCATCTGTTGTTTTTTCTGCTGATACATCACACTTTCCACAGCTCGACGACTTATGTACTTCGAGTCAACAGCGCCGTCCCCTGCATCCACATTATCATTTGTGAATATTGTCTTTTGAATATCTGTGAGATTCTGGTAGTCATTGTAGACTCTTCTCTGAGTGTAGACGTGAGGTGGATGTTCGGGATTTGGTGTGATGGCGCGTCTTGCTGTATTGTTGATCGGTTTCTCTGGGCTCGGGGTTATTGATCGCCTGGTGTTCTTCAGGGGGACCTTCATGGTGTTAACAGTTGGAAATGCTGTCACCAGCTTAGGGGCGTTCTCTGTGTTCACTGGTGTGCCACCTGGGGTGGCATACAGCAGCAGCAGTGGCTGATAACGACCTCTTCTGCATTTCTCTACCACCTGCTCCCAGCGTGGGCCGATTTCCTTGACTGTAGCGTCGTCGAAGTAGATCCACACCTTCAGTTTCGTGTGAAAGAAAAAGGTTGAGTAGTGCTTACCGTAGTACGTTACCACACCAACAAGATTGTGAACTGTTGAGGTACCCCATCTCGAGTCGACAACACTATGGAATACATCGATCAATCGTAGATTTGTGCCGATTGTCGCGAATACATCCATTATGTGCTCCAGGGACGGCCTTTCGCTATCCCATACAACACCCACTGATACTATTTCTGGTCGATTCATTAGGGTTCGACATATCTGAATTTTTGCACCGCATGCACTTGGACAGTCGCGAATATCTCCCATTCCACCAGCGCATCTCAATAGTTGACCGAAGAAATCGGCACTGGTTTTGTCGATCATCGTGGATGGACGGACTTGAGAGGTCAACGCTGAGGCCGATACGTAATGGACCATCTACAGAGAGAAAACAATTGGTTCTTATAATTTACTGATAGAAAATATTGAACCTCTACTTACTATCAACTAATTGATCATTCAAAAAATTGGGATATTCCTCGAGGCGTTACATTTATTGTACAGACGATAATTGTTGAAAGATGAGTAATTTATTATTTATTCATAATAATTAATTATTTTATCATCAATTCTATTGAGAAATACTTGATACATATCCACGGAATACGCGAATTGATACGATGGTTTAATACGGTATGATATCTCTAGTGGAAAGCCTCCCACGTATTATTTCATAATGAGAGCGAAGAATTGTGTTTTACAGAGATATGAATGAAATATGATGGGAAATTGATGGAGATCGTGTGAATTGAAGGGGTGATGGGACTCCAAACTGCGTAATGCAATTGGAAATTATCATTTTCATTTCTGAATTTTGATTTTTTGCAAGCACTGACTGCATAATAGTCACCATAACGATCGGAGTGTGGATTCATAATTATGACTTCAATTCTAATGAAAATTAATATAATAATAATGACATAAATATTCTGATTGAATGTTGAGTCCTAATTATTATTGTGAGGTGGTAGTGTGTATTATGATCCTTTGGGTTGAAAAATAAATGAAGCGGCATCGCGGCTTGAACTTTTGTCGTACTGAGGAAAAATGTAATATTGTGTCAAAGCACAAGATATACTTACTTGGGTGAAGGGTAAGGGCTCCGAAGTAGCACCACAAGCACCACAAACACTTTGCTCTACAAGTGTCATAGCGAATTTTTGATGAGGTACGCAATGTCTTGCACTGCACATATCCTCGGCCTCTCCGTTCGCAATGTGCAGGTGAATTCGTAGAAGTATATTTTCCTGTTGAGCGATGAGAAAATTGAATAGATAAAAACCAAAATAAGTATTACCAGGTATTGGGTATAATTCAGTAAGAGTACGATGGGTGCTGTGTACATTGTAAGTAGTCATTACAGAAGTTTTTTATAATGATATGCGTGTACCTACATACCAACGCGGAACAAGCATGTGATTGTATTACGAATGAAAATAGAGAAGTGATTTGGATTTCAAACTTGTTCTGTATTCTAGGCGGGTTTGAGTACGTTAGATACATGATTTTCTTTGAGTGTTGACAGATTTTGCGGTAACAAGTGCCGGGAATATTTGTTTACCCCTAAACACTTAGTTGGCCATCATAAACTTATCGTTAAAGAAATTTCACCTAACCAATGTATGTAAATCGGGGCGTATAAATTATAGTGAATGACAATTGTAATTGCATAATAATTTTCTTCCAACGGTTTAGAGAGGGAAATCTCTTTAATAACATTAATATTTATTTCGTCCAACTGTGAACACTTGAATTGCTCACAATAATATTAATATATTTTAATATAAAATGATGAATCAGAAATAATAGATAGGCACTAGTTAATTCGTCAATTAACTTCCAATTTGTTCTATCGTTAATTTTTGTTTTGCCGTTAAATCAGATTCAACTAAGGTGACAAACTGTGAAATGGTAATGAGGAGGCTGAAAGCAAAAAATAGAGAGTGGTGGAAAGAATAGAGAGGCGAGCGGCACGAATTAGAAAGAAGGACGAAATTGATAGAGGTCCTGTCAGACGAGATGAATACACCACTATGCATAGGGCTGATAACCATACAATAAGTGCTAAGAAACCACCAAAAAAAGGGGACCAGCAGCGAGAGTAGACGCCGCAGTGTTCAAAGTACCGATCAAAGACGGGAAAAATGCAAAAATAACAACATACCAGAAGTGGAAAAATAAATTATTGAAAATCTAAAGTCATATTACATCTTATTTAATATATTCAATTTATCAATGTTATCTATTGTAACGGAGTAAAAGATTAAGAAAAATAAAAAATTAAAAAAAATTAAAAATTGTGAAGTAGTATCAATTCAACTAAAATATAGTATACTTACGAAACACTCAGCTGCATCGTCCATGAACCCAAGCTGGAAGCGTTGTTGATCCAGGAAACTTTCAGCGAGTGCTCGTCGTAGTGCATCAGGAGGCAGTGCACTCTCTTGTGAGAATTGCAACTGTGAGAATAAATCCTAAAAAAAAAAAAATCATTCAAAACACTGGAACAATGAGGACTCAATAAAAAAGGAGACGATCACTCAAAGTCAATATCGCTCGGAGTTAATCACGAGGTGACAAAAAAATTCCATCGATTAAACTGACGCAGCATATTATCCATGAAATTCCTGCAACGAATCGTAGTTATGTGGTTTCCTCCGTGCTTTCACTAAGAAAACAAGTCGAGGTCTTTCTATTTATGCTGCAGAGATCAAGCGTGTTATTTTTTTGTGTTAACATCTAATCCCTCCTAACAATCTCCTAATTATTGAACCGTTTTTCGTCCGAAATCGCTCCACAAACTCCAACCCATTCCCTAAATCAACGAAAAAGTCATTAGGACGACAATGAATGTCTGATATTGAATTCATAGATTGAGATCACAGCACTACATCGATTTCTTAACAGAATTATTTCTCAATTCCATTGGGAAATAGTCAACACTCGGGGCTTGACATGATTGATCTGCTGACAAAAAAATGGCTAGTGGAAAAAAAATAGAGAAATGGACAGCTATGGATCAGATCTTTGCCCCAATTATTAGTAACTGTCGGATAGTTTTGGCGCAATTAATCATCCTCATTACAATTAATGTAATTAATCCATCAATCCAATGGAGTAATCTCAGGTAAAAGGTCAAGTAAGTCATTCAATTGGCCAATCTATTTCGAGTGGAAGACACTACGAGATAGCTTCGATAAAAAAAAACATTCACCTACTGCGGAGCGATGGAAATATTTCCTCCACTCAGTTGATATTTTGGATTATAAATAAAAAATTGTAAACACCGGTACAACAAAAATGAGCTATTAAAGAGAAATGAGAAGAGCAATATGTTGAGGACGGTAATGGAGTTTTTTATACATTTCGTTTGGAGAGGATATAATTTATGAGCCACCTTTGATTCAATGGGGGCCGAATCATCTGTCTCTGCTACACAATTCTCCTCTTCAGCTTCGGTCTTGGCCACTGCATCGAACTCCTGGTCTTCATTTTTTTCCGAACTTTCATAAACTGCACTACCAGCTACATCACTCGGCTGTCTGACTTTGATCCACTTCAACATGTCTGCAGCTCCCGAGAAAACATTAAAGGCCTCAGTAAATCTGAATGGCGTGCCAATCACCTCGATGACACATAACATTCACTCTCATTCCGGGAAACGATGGCACTTTCAATTCCAATCTGCATCTCGACTTTATCACGATCGGATTCATGGCAAAAAGTTATATTTTACATTAGTATGGCAAAATGTTGATGGCTTTTCAGAGTCCCGGCGTTATTTCAAGACTAAATTGGATCGGCAGTCCTTGGCGAATAGTTGGATTATACAATTGCCAGTTGTTTCCATTCCGTGCAGAATCAAGAGGCGAAAGGAGAGAAGCCCAAAGACCTGGGGAACAGAAGAACAAAAGACTCGGAGGGACTCGTGCATGAGCTCTCCACGTGATCAGTCCTCAAGTTATTCAATCCAACGCATTGAGGACATGGAAAATTTTATTATCCAATCCTACGCCACTCAGTTAATTGAGGTACACGATTTCTTCAGGATCTTTTAAGGAGAAAACAGCACATGTCACCACTGGTATTCACTGAACAACTGGTGTACGTTTTTCACATGTTGAATTGTTCAAGGATAAACTACGCCGATATTTTGGGGAATGGTGGAGGAAATCGATTGATAATATAACGTTATATTTTGTTAAGCATCCCGGAGTAACGTAGTACGCTAACTTGGCGCACGTACCTTGGGAAGAGCGCGTAAGAGAGTGCTGACTAACAGCCCCCACCTCACCACAATCCAAGAGGAGCGCCCTGAGGGGCCTCAAGTCCCCTTTCTGGCGAGATAGATCTTAGAGGGTCCCAAGCAATGGCTGACATCATTCTGTAAAGCAAGGCCTATACATTCACCAAGCTGGTTTTCCACTTGGTCGTGACCAGGGACCACATAACCACTCGCTGTATACATATCGGAGGCTCGGTTATGTGTATGTGTATTTCCAGTTTCGTACAAGTAAAAGTATAAGTGGAAGAATGCGCCGATTTCTTTTTGCCTTGTACATGCTACTGTACCAATGTGTGGGTTCACTTGGAGGCTGCATAGTCAGTTCATGATCCTCCATGCTCAATGCAACTGTAATTCTATGACGTAAATTCAGCGTATGAATCTTTACGCGGAGATTTAACTCGAATGTCAAAGTGGAAGGCAACAATTATCAGTCTAGGCTTTTCAGCAAAATTTTACTGATTTTTTGGCGGGAAATTCCCAAGATTTATTGGCGCAAGCTCATTTTTGAGAATTTCAATTTTTCTCACCGGTTGAGTTGTTATTTGCAATTCTTCAATGAATTTCATTTTCCAGATTTCGGTCTCGAAATATCAAATGGGGAAAATAACTTAAACGTGGGATAACTTTGGAATTAAAAATTTGGAAAATACATTTAGATTTTCAATTCGTCGGGTTTTCCGAGACAGATTGTCAAAATGCAGTGGAACGTACCGAGAAATTTGATAATTTTCAGGATAAATTCGTCATTCATTCGCCAATTGTTGTCCTCTAGAGCCAGAGAGCAGTCGTGAAAAAAATCGCTCGGTATTCTAATACGCAATCATTTTCTTTGGTAACTGCTGGCTTGAGACAAAAGGCCGAGTGGTTTGCGGTCTAATATTCCCACCACGTCCCTCCTAAGGTGGTGGAGATGTGACCAGCGACAGATAGTATTATTTTATGATGATGGGAAGGGCAAGATGCTGGCGAGGAATTTCACACGGGACGAGTGCCAAACTTTTTAAATAAAATCCACCCATACACTTTTTCCACTTGAAATTCCACAATTTCATTGAATTATCAACCTCTATCCTGAATATAAATAAATTTATCACCCTGCAGAATAATTCGGTGAAAAGTCAATAATTTTATTGATTTCAATAGCAAAAACGCAATACTGGATTTTTCGTCTGTACATTTCGAGAAACATTGTAGGATCCGATAAAAATCCGGGATTCAGTCCTGAAACTTGGAAAATAAATTTTTATCAATACTGGATTCTCACCTTGAGAGCACAGAAGATACAGGATTCTCGCATACAGGCATGTCCGGACAGCTCACGGAAACTCCTCCGGAAGATATCGAGATGCCACAGTACCTGAAACGAGAAATGACGCATCGGGTCAAACAGGGTTTTATGGGTAATTCAATATTTTGTAGAATCCAGGAAGTAACAGCGTTAGAGAATGTTAGGTAGTCGATAATAAGCAGTTTCGGGCACGTACAACTCTCATTACTCAGCTACACCAATCCCATGTAAAAAGATTTAAACTATAAACCGGAGATACCGTTTTTGTCGTATAAACCTGGATATGGGTATTCGTGGCTAAATTCAATGTTTCCTCGTATCGGAATTACAATCTTTCAGGAAAACCATACAAACTCACATCCTTTTGAAAAACAACTAGAGATTCCTTTGCATTTAATATAATCTTATTCTCATTATCTTCTACGAGGAAAAAAGAAAATCAATTACACGTTTATTTGATTAAATAAATCATCTACTAATTTCGAATAGAACTTTTTTATTCGGCATAAAAATAATTTATTGGAACCCATCAACGATTTATTAATAATTGTTTAAGTTTCTCTATTCAATGCAAACTAAACCTCTAACTAACTACAAATCTAGCTAACTACTGGTTCATCATTTTGACCCGATGCTACAGAAAAATAAAAATTTCAATTCATTTGATAATCTACAGATCTCCGAAACTCTCACGTATTTTCAACAGATTTTTTGAACCACGTGAAAATGGCTCAGAGTTTTCAAGGGATTTTTCCAGAGAGCAGGAAATGCTAATTCTCCGTGTGTATCGACCGCAGGCCCTTTTCACGGGGACATCCACCTATAATGATCGTGAAGGCTAGTGCAACGTGGGAAAACCAGAAACAGTACTGAGAGCATAAAAAGATCATAAATCGAGGAATGGAAATGTTGGAGCCGGTCGTATGCTCCCGCATAGAGAACAAAAAATTTCGGCTCTGGTGAACCTGTACAAACATTCTGTTCGACCTTAGGCAGGTGAATACGAAGGGCATAGGGGGATAGTTGAATAGTGCTAGGGGTGTCCAAAGGGCCAGAAACGACGCAGGTACTCAAGGGATCACAGCGTGTCTGAGTGGTGCGTCACACAATAGCCGTGGAAAAACGTGAGAATGTATGAGAAGAGAGGAATTACCATCCCAGATCATCTTCGGAATAAACAAGAAAACTTTCTCGTCCAAATGATTAATTGATATTGACTGGCAGTAATTGGAATTTTTTAATTTTTGCAACTGCAATCGTAACCCCGGAAGACATTTGTTGAAAAAAACAATCAAATTATTATTATTATTATTATTATTATTATTATTATTATTATTATTATTATTATTATTATTATTATTATTATTATTATTATTATTGTTGTTG